TTGTGGGGTTGAGCCCCGAGCGTCTGGCTCTGCCCTCAACGGGAAGCCTGCCGAGATCCTCTCTCCGTCTCCCTCTGCCCCTCCCACTCGTACGCTCTCTCTCTCTAAAATAAATGATTACGTCTTAAAGAAAACAAGAGAATTCACGCTGTCCCTAGTGGGGCACGATGAATGCTGTCATCCACGATGGACGGGTGGTGAGCGATCGCGAAGGCGGTGAGGACATCCGCTCCCCCCGTCCCACTCATCACAGTGCAGGAGCTGCCAACCAGGGCAACGGGGCACGCAAAGGTAATAAAAGGCATACAAACCCGAAAGGAAGAAAGAAAACTACCCATGTTGGCAGATGACACGACGATCTAGGTGGGAAATCCTCGGGAATCTACAAAAACAAACAGAAGGAAACTCCTGGAAGTGCTGAGCTCATCGAGGTTTCAGGACATCAGATAAACACAGAAAACCGATGACGTTTCTACATCCTAGCGAGGACGTGTGGACGCTGACATTAAAGATGCCAGTGTTAGTCACCCCCAAGGTGGTGGAAGACGGGGGTGCGCAGCTAGTGAAGCAGGGTCCGATGCTGGGGGATGCACCGTTGCTGAGGGAAGTCAAGGCGCTTCTCAATAAACAGGCCTACGGTGCTCGTGAGCGGAGACTCGACGGACAGAAAGACGTCCGTCCTCGGGCTGGGGTGCCGCGTTCCCGCGGTTCCTACCGAAACCCCAGCAGGGCTTTTTGTAGACATACGTGAGATTTTTCTAAGTTTATATGGAAGCACGAAGGCACTAGAAGAGCCAACATAATTCTGAAAAAAATAATTGAATCGGTGGAATCGGCCCATTAAACTTCAAATCTTAATGTACAGCCAGAGGAATCAGGACTGCGGTGTTTGTAGGGGCAAAGACACCAATCAGTGGGGCGGGGTGAAGAGCCCAGAAACAGACCCACACACACCCGACTGGCATGCAGTTCCCGGGACTGGGGTGTCCCCAAAACTGTGCTAAATCCTCCCTAATGTGAGTACAAGCACCGACAAGGTCCTGGCAAATAGTGGCCTCTCCTTCCCTCACTCTCCACGGGTCCTTCCTAGGAAGGAGCCTCGTTTCTCCAAACCACGGCCCGGCCCTGCTCGGCTGGCTGGCCCCTGGCTCCCGGCCACTTCCCACCTAATTACCAAAACTGCTCCGAAGAAAGCCCGCGGCTGAGCCGCCTGGCCTGGGTTGGGTGGGGAGCCCCGGCGGCCGAGCCCCACTCCGCTCCAGGACACCGGTCCCCACGCCCCGCCCTGCCCTGGTGCTTTCCGTGGCTCGTGCCCATCTCTAGAAGGTAGAAGTCTGTTCCGTGCCTTGGGCGCTACGCATTCTGAACAGCCTGGGCCAGGGGCGGCCTCGGTGGTCACAAGCCAGCAAGCAGCTCTCCTTTCCTCACCTGGCACCCTAAGGACGGAGCGGCTGCAGGACGAGAAGTGGCTGGCGGGTCCCGCCCAGCGTGGAGCGCTGCAATTCCCAGGGAGGCCGCTGGGTGGCACCCGCGGCCCCCGATTGCAGGAACAGCCCGGAAAACACGGGCCCAAACGGCGCAGAAATGCCCACGGACATTTGCCCCAGAGGCTCACAGTCCCGCTCCTGCCCGTCTCCCTCTTCACTCAGGCCAGGCCCAACCCCTCCTGGAGAGCCATGTTGGACGTCCACAAGTGGGTCTCGCTAGTCCTTCGGTGACCTCCATGGCGTGGGCTGGACCTCAGGTCTGCGAGGACGCATTAGCCAGAGCCTTCTGAGCTCCCCTCTGACGTGGCCGTGACTGTCCCAGGTCCCCTGAGGCCAGGCGTGCAGTGACCAGCGTGTGCAAGCTGCCAGGTGGAGCCCGGGCCCACGTCCCTGGCGTCCTGCCCAGCACACCCGTCCTCTCCCCCAGGCCGCCCCCCCAAGACAGACGCTAGACCCCTCCCGGGGCAGAGGGAGGCCCAGAAGAGCCATGGGCTGTCATCTGAGGTCCTACCCTGGATGCCCACGGGGACACCCCTTGGTGAAGGTACTGGTGACCTCTCGGAGGCTTGGAGCTGCTCTCCCTGTGTCTGGCTGGGGTGATGGGGGACCCCAGAAAGCCCGGGCAGGACAGCACCTCAGCCCAGGCGCGGGTGGGCATAATGATGGTAAGAGCAGCCAGCCTGTCCGTGGGGGCGGCTCTCAGTCCCGGGGCTCCCGGTGCAGGAGGGGGGCGCAGGAGGGGGGCACAGGACAGGGCTCGGTCAGGGCAGGGTCCAGGACCAGTGGACACACAGCAGACTGGTGCTGACCTCTGATGTCCATGGCTTGTATGACCGGGGCGGACGGGGCAGGGGGAGATGGCAGGAGGGAGGGACAGAAAGATTCGGGAGCACCAGGACGAAAACCCCTACCCCAGGCTCCAGTCCAGCCCCCAAACACACACGGCTCCCCCCACCCTTCCACACGCTGCCCCCGCTGCCCAGCAGAGGTCTTTTCATTTCCAGCTTGTGTACATTTTTTAACTTTTGTGGGAAAGGATCTGAGGCTTGGGAGCTGCTCTCCGGGACGTTCCCAACACCCACCGCCCCCACCCCCGCACCGCCCAGAGCAGTTTCTACAACCCCGCATCCGGGCACTGCCGCCCTGGGTCTCTTTGGCCACGGCCCTCCTGGCTGACTGGCTGCCCGGCTGCCCCGCCGCTCAGGGGCTGGTCTCGGGGGCTGGTCTCCCGCGTGGCCTCCTGGCCCCCTCCCTGCCAACCCCGCCTCCTCGAGAAGGTGTGACCCTGACGGCCTTGCAGCCCAGGGATCTTGCCAGAACATCACCACCAGCTGCCGTCACACAGATGAAATCCACATTCTACACGTGACCCAGGAGCCTCTGTGCCCTGGCCTTGGTGACCTCCGGGCGTGCCCTTACCTACCCCACACCCCCCCACGTTCCCACGCCCCTCAGACCTGGGCTCCCTCAGTCAGCCGTCCCCCACATGCCTCAGGGCTCTCGCACATGCCCTTCCACCCTCTAGAGTACTGTTCCCTCCTCCCCTCGCCCAGCCTCACCCCAGCACACAACTTAGCGGTCACCCCTTCCACGAGGTGGGCACCGTGTGACACTGTCATTCATGTGGCCACACGTGAAGCCCCCGGGCAGGCTACACGTTCCAGAAGGTTCTGTCAACCTGTCACCACCTCCCCGTCCCACAGGTGCCTGGCAGGAGGCGGGGGCCCGCTCTGGGACAGAGCAGTCTGCCGCTGTGCCAGCCTCCTCCCATCAGGGCTTCTGGACCATTCTCCCATTCCTCCTTCCGAGGGACACAGTCCCCGCTCTGCAGACCCCCCGCCTCTGGTGTCTGGGCTCAGGGGTAAAGTCTGTCTTCAGCCCTACCGTGACTCCGTCGGCCCAGCTCTGGTCTCCAGGCCCCGGGGTCGGGCTCTGCCTGGGGCCGGGCTTACTGTGGACCTCACACAGCCGCCCCGGCCACCCCCCGACAGCACAGGAACAGCAGTCCACAGCTCTCCCGAGTGACTATGAGGTCCTCTCCACCCTGAGAGCCCCCAAAGCAAGTCAGCGCCACTTGGGCGTGGGGACCGGGACCCAGGTCCAAGGATGGAAGCAGGACGCTCCCACCCAAACGTCCTATCTGACCTCAAAGCCCTGGAAAACTGCAGCCTAAGCCTCCTGTCCCCTCCCCCTAGGTGGGGGCAGCGGCCACCTGCTCTGCCCAGCCATGTCCTCAGAGACCCCAGAGCTGACCAGCCCCCCAGCTTTCCTGCCGCTCCTGGGTGTTCCTCGCAGCCCCAGGGGATTTGGGGCGCCCGTCTGGGCAGCCGCAGCAGACGGGATAGGATCCTGCAGCCCCGCCTGGGTGAACCCAGCGTGACCGGTTCTCACTCCTGGTGTGACCCAGATAGCCGGGCTCCAGTGGACATGTCTCACGGGAAAGTGGAGAGTCAGTCAGAGAATTCAACACCGTAGCCTAGACTGATGGGGGCCCCCAGACCCCCTCCAGGAACCACGCAGGAGGACGGCCGAGGAGCTGAGTCCGGAGCCTGGTGACCCCGAGGCTTCACGGACGCTCAGAGCACCAGCCCCATGAGGATCCAGGGTGTTTGGTCACCTCAGCAGGCCACGGGTGTGGGGGCCAGGGGGACCAGTGGGAGGACGCAGGGAAGGGGCAGGCTCCCAAGAGAGGGGACAGAGGAAATCACCTAAAGACCCCTGACATGGGAGCCAAGTGTCCCTGGCACATGGAGGGGAGGGTTCCCTCTGGGCTGGTTCCTCAGATCCTCCGAGGTGCAATCCCAGGGACATTGTCTTGTCCCCCCATGTCCACCTCTGGAGGGTCCTGACCTCCCTGTCCCTTCCCCGTGGCTGTCCTGTCCTCCCTGTGCCCCTCCCCCATAGCTGTCCTGTCCTCCCTGTCCCCCTCCCCCATGGCCATCCTGCCCTCTGTGCCCCCCCCAATGGCTGTCCTGCCCTCTGTGCCCCTTCCCGAGCTATAAAGCTGTAAAACGGCTCTGCCTCTGCTCCAGGCTCTTGTCTGCACCCTGGCCCGCAGGGTCATGCAGCTCGGAGGGCCCCGGGAGAGGGTGGTGGGCCAGCGGCTGCTGGAGTCCGGTTTGAGTGGCCATGATGGGAGAGGGTGTGGGACATGCTGTGGGCAATATGAACCAGCCCCATGGGGCCCCGGGTTCAAGCCAGCGTGCCGAGCGCCAGCCTGAGAGTCTGCGAGCCTCCCGCCTTCCCTCCCAGCTCACCTCCCAGGACGGTGGAAGGGGAGGAGGGGGAGGGCGGTCCCGGCTCAGACGAGCAGAGATGCCCCCAGAGGAGCACCTGCCGGGAGGAGGAGCTGAGCTCCCAGGTGTGAGGTGACGCCCAGGACAGCCAGCAATGTGGCCAGACTGCCCCGACGGCACCCGCCGCCCAGGTCAAATGACACCCGCCCCATCCCTCAGAGACAAGGGGGTGTCAGGGAGGCCACATCCTTCCGTGGGAATAATTCTGAGTGTTCAGGGAGCCTGGCAGGGACGGTCTTCTGACAAGTGGCCTCTGGAGGACGCCCAAGAAGAAAGGACCCAGCCGCCGGGCCTCCTCTCCCTCGGGCCCCGAGGTCATGGCCCCGCAGAGGGGGTCACTGCTTCTGCTGGCCCTCAGCCTGGGCCTGGCCGGTGCCCAGAAGACCCTAGACGACGTGCCGGTACAGCCCGGGTTTAATGCCCACGAGGTAACAGAGCTGGGTCAGGGCCCAGACACAGTCCTGGGACGAGGAGGTGGGTGCCCCTGGGGGCTTGGCATGGCAGCGCGGCAGCCTCTGGGAACAGGACCCGGAGAGAGAGGCCAGCCGAGAGGCGAGGGGCGGCTTGGGCCCAGGCACAGGCTCGCAAAGGGACAGCTGCTCCTCACGGAGTCTGCCCGGCCCAGACAGGAATGGAGGGGTCTCGCACTCCCGCTCGGCCCTGGGGGCAAGGAGGGGCCCAGGGTCCCCCCTGCCTGTCTGTCCCATCTGCCCAACACCCAGCACTGTGGGGAGCGTGGCTGGAGCGAGGCCAGCACTCGGTATGGTTCTGGGGCGTCCCTCTCACCTCCCCAGACCCGGCCAGGGCATCTGGAACCCAGCAGAGGTCAGCGCTACGACCAGACACGGGAGGAGCTGAGGGAAGCGGGAAAGGGAGAGGCAAGAAGGGGACTGGGGGAGACGGAGGGCAGCCTCACAGAGGAGGCCATTTCCAAGAGGCCAGCTGTCCCCGCCCCCCAGCATACCCTGCTGGCCCTTGAGCTCCCCGGGCGGCACTCAGAGCTGGGGTGCTGGGGCCTGAGAGTGGAGACTCGGGCCAGGGAGTGTCCAGCCCCCTGCACCCTGCACCCCACAGGTGGAGGGACGCTGGCTGACTGTCCAGCTGGCTGCCAGCCGCGCCCACCTGGTCTCCCCAGACGACCCCCTGAGGCTCGGCCTCCATTCCATTTGGACGCAGGGCGAGGACGTGGAGTTCGTCTTGTTCTGGACGTAAGCATGGCCTCTGCAGCCCCTCGCAGAGTGAGCCTGCCCGGAGGCCTCCCAAGGGACGGTGACCAGTGGGGAGGACCAGAGGGACATAAGGCACTAAGTTACAGGCTTGAGACACCCCAAGAGGTGTAAATCTAACTTCAGAAGCCCCAGAGCCTTACCACGAGGGGCCGGGGACAGACCCGCACATGCCCGGTCCCTCCCACCGTGGAAAGCACAGAAGCCCGGGCAGGGCTGGGCTCACACTGGTCAGGTGATGGGGAGCATCTACGGTGATGACACCATGTGCTGGTGTCAGCCATACCTAGACCTGTCCTGCACCCAGGGCCTTGAGGACCCCAAGTTAGAGCCACAGCCTTGTTGGTGCTCGGCCATAGACACCCACCCCAAGGGCCGTTCGCTCCCAGGGTCCGCAGGCACCCCGCCCGTGCCCCACCCACTCCAGCGGAGACACTGAAGACCCCGGGGTGGGGGGCCAAAAAGGAGGGGCCTATGTGTGGAGCCCAGTGACTAGGGACAGCCAGGACCAGGTCTCCACCCAGAGACCTGGAGCTCCAAGCCAAGGACAGACTGGGTCCCACTCCTTCCCGGAGGTTTGGCTCCATTCCAGCAACAAGGAAGTGGCTGGTTCCTCGCTCCTGCCCTCTAGCCCTGTGCCCCAGCGGATGACCTCAGGAGCCCAGGGAGCCGAGAGACTCAGGCAGACACCTGGGACCTCAGCCAGGGCGCCTCCGATGTCCCCAGGGGCTGGGAGACAGGAAGAGGACTTGACCACCATATGCCCCTCTTTTCCCCAGGGGAGAGGGGGTGTGCAAAGGAGTGAACATCACCGTCCACCCAACCGGGCTCCAAGGCCAGTTCCAAGGCTCCTGTGAGTAGCCCACCCTCTGGCCTGGGTGCCCTGCTGGACGGGGATGCTCAATGTTCCGAACCAGGGTGGGGGCTGGAGGGAGACAGCCTCCCGGGGTCCTGCGCTGTCCGGGGTCCTGTCGGGGGCTGAGGAGAGAGGCTTCACCTGTCACCGGGCCGGGGCCTCCCACAGTGGAGGGAGGCGCCAGCGTGCACATCTGCTTCGTGAGCACGGACTACAGCAGCCTCATTCTTTACGTCCGCCTCGAGGATGCCGGCGAGGTCACCAGCCTGTGGGCTCTTCTGGGTAGGTGGCGGCTCTCCGGATGCTGGCTGGGGCCTCTGCCCAACACCTGGGCTTAGGGGGACGGGGGCTCCGGGGGTGCTGGCGCCACCAGGTACCCTGTGGGTGCTTCCCCCGGGCGCCCGTCCCTCGGGGGGGCAGCCCTGCACCTGCCCCCTCGCTCCCTCTGGAGTTCACTCAGATTCGCCCGCGGTGCACACGTGTGGGAGTGTGCGTACATGTGTGTCTGCGCGTGCGTGTGCGTGTGCATGCACGCGCACGCGTGTGTCCCGGGAGCGGGGACACTGTTAGCACAGAAAGCCCCCCTGTCTTGACCAGGGAGCTAGTCAAGGATCCTAAAGGCCCTGAGTCCCGTTGGGCCCAGAAAGTGGAAGAGGCACGTGGGGCAGACCGGGGGGGGTGGGGCATCCCCGGGGAGGTGTGGAGGAAGGGCTGGGCGGGTGGGGGCGCCTGAGGACTAGATGGAGGCAGCGGGGGGCATCCCAGGCTGGCCAAGTGGCGCAGGCGGCAGGCTGCCGTGTGAAGGGGGCCCCCCCCGCGGGGGCTGGGGCCTGATGCATCCCCGGAAGGAGCGCTGTCCCTACTCCGCCAAGGGCGGACCTGCTTCTGGGGCAGACAAGGACGGAGGGGACCAGGGCTGAGGCTGCAGCCACCAGCCAGTCCGCAGCAGGGCTGGAGCCGGAAAGAGGAGGGGGCGCTCAGAGAAAAGACACAGCCTCCAGACTCTGGGCCCCTCTGACTTCAGCCAGAAGAACACGTGGGGACCCCACGTGGCTGCGGAAGTTCCTCGAGTACGTGGCCAGATTCCACCTGCAGAAAGCCCCCATCTTCAACCTCGACGGTAAGCACGGCGCTCCAGACACCCCCCTCCGCCCCAAGACCAGGCCGCCGTGCTGGGGCCTCACCCGCCGGGCCCGGAACCCCTAGGAGCAGTGACAGGCACAAGACCAGAGCAAGCAAAAATACGGGCAGCCTCTCTGGGGCCGCAGCCGGTCGGCCCAGTGCCCGGTGCCTTGCCTGCCAGATGGCACGAAGCCCCTAGAACACAGCGACCTGTGCACAATATCCATCCCCAATCTGTGGATTCGGACGCTGGGGTCCGAGGGGCTTGGAAACAAGGCCAAGGCTACCCAGCAGAGCCCCTCACCCCCACACCCCTTCCCCGTGTACCGTTCAGTCCATCAACACACGCGTGCCAGGCTCTTTGGGGTGGCAGTGGGGGAAGCATGGAGAACAAGGCAGACACACCCTCCAGCCCTCTCCCGGGTTACCCGGGGTCACTGCAGGCCCGCCCCTGATCTGTCAGGGACAAGGGAACCCAGAGCAGGGGAGGATGGCCTCGCCACAGGGTCAACAATGTCTGGAGGCAAGGGGGACAACTCGAGGGGCGGTGGGGGGTGGAGTCTGGGTCAAAGTGAGGGCACAGGGCCGTGGCAGGACACGGTGGCCCGTGGGTGCTGGGCTGCAGAAGGCAAGCTGCTCCCCAGCGAGGGCCGCCGGCTGCACGCCAGGTTCGGTTGGTTTCAAAGGGAATGGACAAAACCTTGGGATCCCTATCCTGTCCTCTCCCTCCACAGCCCGGTGCCCCGCAGCTGAAGCCTAGGTCAGGGCCGCCGGAGATGTCCTGCCTGGCCCTCCTGACCCCTGCCCTGGCCTCCCTCCCCTCCCCCTGCCTTGCTTGCCCTGGGGCCTCCCGAACCCCTGGGCCACCTGAGGCAGCCCCTCCAGCCTGAGCCTGAGCCTGGCCTCCAGCCATCCCCTTCCTGGCCTCTCCCAGCCGGGCCCAGGGGTGTGAGAATGTTCTGAGTGGCCGGGAGGGGATCGGCAGCCCCCAGGGCTCTGGGCCACCGCAAACACGGCACTGCAGTGGCGCGGGGGACAACCCCACTAGGGTCTGGGCTGGGGCTCCTCTGACCTGCTTCCACCTGGGTCCTGCTCTGGGTCAACTCCGGAGAGGTGTGCTGGGCCGGTGAGCCAAGCCTCATGCCCACCCAGGTCAGAGAACGCAGAGGGCGCCCAGTACCCGCCCACACGCTCCCGGAGAAGAGCCAGGGAGACAGGCCCAGGCATCTGCACGACAGGGGAGTCGAGACAGGCCAGCACCCTTTCCTGAAGGTCAAGGGGGCCACCAGGACAGTGGCTGGACCCAAGCCGCCCCCTCTTCCCGGGTGAGCAGAAGACAACCCAGGGAAGGGCAGGCTCTCGGGAACTGGGTCGGCGGCCTCCACACGGACCGTCGGGAAATGTCAGAGACAGGTATGACCGGATCCTGCCCCAGAACTGCTCCTGGGAAGACAAGACCACGCCCCCTCCGAAGGCCACGCCCCTTCGAACGGCCACGCCCCTTCGGAAGGCCACGCCTCAGCAAGGCATCATCCACCACGCCCAACCGAGCGCTTGAGGTCAGCACCATCGCCCCTGAGCCACCCGGCCCCCAGCAGACGTCCACCTGCCCCTCGCTCAGACGCTCCGCAAGACCAGCGGGTGCTCAAAGCACGATGCTTGCCTGCGAACCAGAAAACCCAAATTCCAGACATAGAATGGCCGCGGTACAATGAGAAAGTAATGCTCCTTTAGCCAGAAATCTGCAGACTTTATACGGAGAAAAAATGTTCAAGTCCTTCCTCTGGGACAGTGAAAAAGTGACTTAAGTAAATGGACACGGGGTTTCCTGCATAGTCTTCAATATCATAAATACGTAATAATCCTCAGGGTAACCTGTGCCTCCAAGAAATTCAATCAATATTCCAGTTGGGCGGGGCGAGGGCACCTGGGGGCTCCAGCAGTGAAGCGTCCGCCTTCGGCTCGGGTCACGATCTCGAGGTCCTGGGATCGAGCTCCGCATCGGGCTCCCTGCTCAGCGGGGAGCCTGCCTCTCCCTCTGCCTCTGCCTGCCTCTCCCCCCCTTGTGTGCCCGCTCGCTCTCTCTCTCTCAAATAAGTAAATAAATAAAATCTTTTAAAAAATATTCCAGTGGGATCTTTACCCCGAACCAAAAACCCAAATCTAGAACCCACACGAAAGAACGAAAGTTTTGACATGTTTAGAGAGAAGCCCCACAGGTACCGTTCCATTAGAGCGAGCAGGACCCAACAGCAATCACAACTGTATAGACTCAGCTCGGGGACAGAAGAATGACCAGGGAGTAGAGTCAAGAAATGAACACTAGCAAGCATAGGAACAGCGCGGTGTACAAATGGCCCATCTTAAAAGACATTATTTATTCAATAAACAGTGCTGGGAGAAATGGCCAAGAGATTTGGAGGGAAAAAAATTAAGTTTAGCTGTCTCACTCTGCATTATCTTAAAATTAGTTCCCGGTGACTCTGGGCAAACATAAAACCTTGAAAGTCTGTCTCTATCTCAGGGATGGGCTCCCACCCTACAGATATAAATATCAGGGGAAAGGATGGTAATTATGCTTTCGAGGTCTCAGAAACATCCTCACCAAAATTAAAATCCAAACCGGAAATTAATATTGTCAAGAAGCTTGACAGAGGGCCCACACGACCTCTCGGAAGCTATCCGTCAGAGCTCGCGAAGAGGACCCCAGCGTGCGAGAAGTGAGCAGAGCACAGACACCGATCATTTGTACCATCACGTACCAGACGGCCGGTCATTACAGCATGAGGGGAGGTTTGACTTCACAAGGATTCCTAGAAAAAGAGATGCTATTTTACTTAACAGGTTGGCAAAATTAAGTGTTTTTTATAGCTCACTTAGCACCTGCGGTGTGAAGAAGTGCACTGTTGCTCGGAGGGATGGAAATGGGGGGCTGTTCTGGGGGACCCGGCTTCATGTCCTCTGGACAGACTTGTCCTTGGACCTGGGAGTTCTAGACAAGAACACATTGACCCATCCTCATCCCAATGAAGCCAAGGAACTCACGGTGCTTTCGGTCTGATCCCATGATTTTGTAAAGGTAGAACATTAGAGTCCCTTCCAGGATGTCCCCCAGGCCTGCCCAGCAGGTGTCGAGGGGGAAATCCGCTTGTCTGTCTGAGTGAGGCCCTCCTTGCTCTCTCCAGGCCCCACCTGAGATGGCTTGCACCAAGCTTGTGCCGTCGGGACTGTGGGTCGTGGAATATCCCTTCTCCTTTTCGAGACGTTCACGGGTTCTGTTTTCGAGAGCTGCTCTGTGACGCCCAAGGATGGAAGTCCCTGAACGTGACATCATCAGCCCCAGAACAGTGGGATCTGCTAATGCCAGACAAACACATCCTTCACGAGCACCTTCGGGATGGATGGTGAGGGACGTGCCCTAACACGGTGGGGTGCCCACGGCTCAGCCACGGGGCAAGTCCTGCCCCACCTTCCTCTCCAGGACGCAACAGCCAGTGTCTCTTGTGGTTTTCCTGTTCTATTTGCCGTCCAGGAGTGCTGTGCCCTTGGGCGGCTGCAACACAGCCCCCCAGAGGGGCGGCTTGAACATCAGAAGGGTGTTCCCTCACCTCCGGGAGGCTGGGGTCCAAGGGGCCAGTGTGGCTGGGCTGCTGGTCACTGCGTGTGTACGCACATATGCACGCGTCCTGAGCTCCCATCCAGCAAGGTCATCAGTCCGCTCGGATCAGGACCCACCTCGGGACCTCACTTGCTGTTACCGCGTCTGCGAAGACCCCATGTCCAGGTAGCCACGTGCGGCAGTGCCAGGGTCAAGGCTTCCACCTCTGACCTGGGGGATGCGACAGAGGTGTCACACTGACCAGTACTGGTTCCTGTCCCACAGAGGAAACCCTCAGCCCCTCCAGCCCTTGTGGGGACTCTCGAAACCCTCACTGCCCTAAACAGACGATGGCCACTGTGCTCTCCTCCACGGCAGCCTGTCGCCTCGCATGGAGAGGGTTCCCCTCCTGAGCCACCGCGCTGTCCCCGCCTCCCACACCCCCCTCCTCGCTTTTAGCACTTTGGACTTCCAAAAGCAATGCGGTGAGCGTTCTCCTGTGCCGTGCGGGGCCGCGGGCTGCTGCGGGACACAATTCTGATCTCAACAACCACTTCCTTCCCTTCACTGCACCCGAGACGGCCTTTGCCGCAGAGCTCAGGGCATAGCTTCTTCGTGCCAGGATCAAAGAAGGGTCTGCGTTCGGTAGGAACGCCCCAGGCCACCCGCATGCGTCACATACCGACACAGACGATTCGTGGGGATTCAACACGGCAACGCACGCCCAGGACCGACGCACATGACGCATTCTGCCCGTGAGCTGACAGATATTTATTTGTTCCCTTTTTTCTTTGCCCTTTTGTGTGTATTTTTGTCCTGGGCTACAATCTTTCTCCATTACGCCTCCTGCCCTGCCGGCTGCCTATAACATGCAGACTCTGACATTGCTGTGATCAAAAGCACGTTGTCATTTTTATGCTTTATCCCGCATGGACCAAACTGGACGGTTCACAGCCACAAGGAGAAACATCTCCCGCGGTGGCCTCCGTGTGCACAGCCCGGAAACCAGGAGCACTTTAGGACGCCCTCTGTGCTCGAGAATCCGCGTCTACGCCGTCAGTCAGTGGCGGGAGGAGCTGGCAAGTCAGAGGGCCCTCGGGGAGCACTGCATGGCCTTGACCAACCTGCGCAGGGGCCACAGCGCGTGTCCCAGCAGACTCCAGAGACGGCAGCTTGGCCGGCTTGTGATGACAAAGTACTTGTCCGGGGTCCTCCATAGGTGCTGCTCAGCCCGTTGTCCTTGTCGAGACTGACGCCCTCCAGGTATTCTTTGATGACATTTAAAATCTCCAGGGCCATGCCACCCAGGACAGGGCCGTCGTCGTAGTAGTAGTCGCCCTGTCCTGACGAGACACACTCCTGGACGCAGCTTCCTCTCGTGAGGGAGGTCCCCCATGTCTCTGACGTGCAACCAGATGTGGAGCAGAGCCACGGATGTGCCCAGGGTCTCCACGCCGCAGGCATCCGGGAAGAGCTCTCGGGCCCTCTCGGCCATCACGCTGGAGACAAAGTCCACTGTGACCTGGATACGCCGTCCTGTGTGCGCGGCTAAGTTCGTGTGCGCGAGGTCCGAGCCGTCCTGCCGTGGCCCCAGACGTCGAGGACCTGGAGCGTCTGCTGCGGCCCCGGCTCCAGGAGCGCAGCCTGCAGAAGGCGTCCCCTGTGAGGTAGAAGACCGCCCTGTAGCCGGTCATGAGGTGCCCGCGGGCCGACGGACGGATGGCTCCAGGTACGGATCCGCAGTCCTACAAAACCCATGGAGGGAGACGCTCCCTAAACACTTTCAGGAGGAGACACGTCAACCAACGTGCCGCCGGACTGATGAGCCAGCGATGCTACCGGACCCGGAAAGGGGGGCCGGTCAGATCTGCAGCCCCAGCCGCACTGGGTAGTAAGGAAGGATGTAGTGAACCCGGGGTCTGAGAAAAGCCAGAGGTTCTGAAACAACTGCTCGGCAGACAGGAAACATGAGCTGAAGGGCAGCGGTCCATGCAGCTGAGTGGCATGAGCAACCCAGTGAGCAAAGAGGAACAGCGTCCCGGGGTTCACACAGGACGGCCGGACTCGACGGTCAGGGGAGCCCACGGCAGCCTGGGGGAGGAGGTCTCTGCAGGCTTATTTGCACACACCTGCCCGTAGCAAGGACGGCCAAGCCTGCGGTGAGGTTCCGTCTCCCATGGTACACCCAGGACCTGTCTACTCAGAGTGCCTTCCCAGACGGCTGGAGCAAGGCAGTCTGTGGTTGCTACAACCTCGG